TAAGTAGAAGATTCCTTTTAAAAAAATAAAATAAAATAAAATAGCCCTCTAAGGGAAACCAACAAAGAAAATACAGGTAGTTCCCTAACAGAACACGTCATCCGATGTCTGTAGACATAAATAGTAAGTTAATATCGACCGCCCGCTGATTCCTTTCTATGAACCACAAGCAATTATTCCGTCTCTACTGGATAAAGTAAGACGTGCAGGAACATCTCTTTTATATTTTCTCCTTATTAAAAAAAAAATAATAATAATATCTTTAAAATTTTATATTTAACATAGCGACAATCTCGACATTCAAGATCAGGGCCGGATTTGCACATAAGCTAAACAACCTGCAGCTTAGAGCCACGCAGGGCGTCGAGAGGGGAAGCTGATGATATTCCTCCTGGCTCGGAGCGAACTCCGAATCCCACAGTAATTCCTACCCTCTATAAATTAATGCTATTTTTACTAGCAGAAATATAAAATCTTTAAGACTGCTTTTTATTAATAAGCATTCTACGTATATCATTTCTTCAAAACAAAAATAGTAAAAGAGCGTTTAAGTTCTCGACGGTCCTGGGCCTCGCGTTACAAATCTACAGTTTAAGGCCACACAGTTTTACATATATATATTTGATAGAGAGAAAGGGTCCGTTATGTTATAGTTTCGGATCACGACAAGTCTAAGATCGTCCCTTCATTTTATTAATTTAATTAGAATCGATAATCAAAAACGTTAAACGTGTCCTTCATTGTTGTAACGTGGACTATATTTATTAGCATATTAATTATATTTGAGGCCGGAGTGTTTGATAACCTATATAACTAAACAAGTTCAGCCTTTAATATTAAAATAGTCTATTATTTTCGTGTAGTCATTCTTATAACGGTGTCAGAAATTTAGGTTGTTTGATTTGTGCGTCCATTACATCTGTTAGTAAATTATTATTTAAATAATATAAGACTAGGAAAATATCTTTGTATTGTTTCAAGTGTTTTCTTTTTTTGATTGAGATTATTCCTTAGATTCTAAAGGATTGCCGTGGAATAATGCAAAGCAACACATAGACAATCTGCCAAGGGAGAGAGGTGCAATGCCGGATTGCAAGCTAGGCACTTGCTTGCAATCCTGCTAAGCCCCGAAATTGGAAAAAATAAAACAATTTTATACAATTGTATATCATAATTTATAAATAATTCTACATTTATAATATGATGTCGTGAAATTACGTAGAAGACGTCCAATCATCTGCGACTAGAAGGTTGAGGTCTTAATCTGCCACCGGGGAGGTACCTCTCGAGAAAACTTTATATGGGAAATTCGCATCTATTTAGGTGTTAGATATGTGAAAAAAACCCGGAAAATTCCGTGCGACCAGCACTTGGTCAGGCGCGAAACCGCGACCACTCGGCTACTGATGGGCCATAAATTCCAAAAAATAGAAGAGAACCTTAAGCATAATTTTTATTTCTCTTTAAACTGTAAAGAACATTATCCCATTGACCTTCTTGGTAAATTAATTGTCAAATGTTTATGATCGATCGTATGTAAGAAGTTTCTTCAATAACAAAACAAAGATAAAAGAAAAAATTAATAAGCTTCAATTGTTTGATATACAAGTTCATTTTAATTCTTAATAGCTTAATGGATCATTATCGAAACAGTTAAAATATTTTGAAGCAGAAAGATCCAATCATTCCGTGTAATGATATCTCCCCATCGGCTCTATATCCTATTAGTTATTGTAATTTAATGGGGGGTAATTCGAGAAACAGGTTCTGTAACGATACTTAGAGAATAGGATATCTCTTCTAAAGAAGGAGATTCGCTAAAATAACTTCAATTATCAGCAAAATACTTTAAACTTTAGATAAAAAAAATAAAAAATAAATGATTTTATTGGTCGTATTTTTCGAGATTGGGGGATGGACAATATTGAAGTGCCTCACCCCACCATATATAGGCCTATATACCTTACTATAGTGCATTCACATACACATACAACATGATTAAATTATACGCTTGGTTATGTTTATCGGGTTTCGGGGTGGTGAGGTGGGCCACCCCCTAAAACATCATTAAAATGTATTGTCGTCAGACTTAGGTAAGTCAAAGAAAGCTGTTTTCTGTAGTCTTAATGTGGCATGATCCACCTATGAGGAGGGATGTGTGGATGTTAATGTTAATGTAATGCGATCCAAATCAAATAAACACAAAATATCATATTTAAAATAAGAAGAAATATTTTTTTAATAATCCAAATGTAAAGGAGATTTTATATTAAAAAGCAAAAAACACGTATGCGATGAGATGAGACCGGGTGCGACTGGTTGAAAGTTGATGCGACGCGACGCGATTCTACACGCACGAAAGATAAAAATGTTAATAGTTTCCGTTTTCTATATAAGATCATTTTTGAAAGTTAATACGATAATTTTTTTAATATTAAACTCACTTTTATTCGCTAGAGTATTTTTTTTATAAGTTATTTTCAATGGCAGACGAAATAACAGTTGAGAAACAAAGACTTTATTTTGTAAATCAGTGGAATCAATACCGAAACGTCTCGAAAATGTGCAAGTTCTTCTTAGCTTACACCAAAGAAAATAAGATTCTTATAGCATATACCATACTGAAAAAAAAGTGATAAAGTTATAAAATTATGCACCATATCTGAATGCCACGTGGAGTTTACCACGTTTACTTCACGTGTCTAACACCTAATAGGGCCAGTTTTCATAAAAAGTCCTTCCGGAAAGTCCTCCCTTGGTAAATTACCCATATGTTGTAGTAGCCTATTGGCTAAAACCGCAGAGCACTTGGTAGCGGGTTCGCACCCAACCAACGGGCTAGCCATGTAGCGTTTTCAAAGTTTTTTTTCGCCTGTCTAACATCTGAATAAAAGCCAATTTTTCGTAGAAAATCCTTCCGAAATGCATCCCCTCTTGGATGATCCCCATGTGCTGCGTTGCCCTCTTCCATTAATCTTATCCTATCCTAATGCTAGAGAAAAATATGCTAAATTAGAAGTTAACACAATTTTATAGAAGGAACAGCAGTTAATGTTATTTATTAATATAAATAATTTAAACAATTCTGTTTTTATAAAAAATTTACTTTAGATAATTGATATATAAATGTGACAAAAAATACATCGAATTGATTAACTTAAGTGCGAAGGTTTAGGATTATAGTAAAAATTGAATGATAGTTACATCATTATTGTGATGGAGTCCTCGATCCAGATGGTCGATCGAAAAGATTAATCTTCTCTGACAAATTCTGTAGTAACGGATTAATTTCTATGACGCAAGCATTACGTTTAAATATAATAAATGGATTTAGGGATTAATTCATGATTCTTTGAATCTAAACTAGTTTTAAAAAAATTGTAGATTTATTCTTTACTCTATTTGGAAATCTTGATGATGTAACACAGAATGTAGGCATTAGACACGAGAAAAAAATTCGGAAAACTCCACGTCGACGAGGTACGAACTCTCGACCGACTATCGGTGTTTAGTGGTTTTAACCACTCGAGCACTAGTGGGCACGCCGGACTTCAGACTCGTCGTGGCCCAAAGCTATAACATATAACAGGCTCTTTATAATGATAATGCGAGACACTAAACTGTTTAGCATATTCGGCCCTGATGTAACACAACACCAATAAAAATCATTTGTTGTATTCTATGTTTCATACAGTGCCTTTTAATTTCCTACATAAAAATGATTTTTAAAGTAACATTTTAGTTTTAAAAAATGCTTAATTATTATAGAAAAGGGTAAAAAATGAGGCTCACTTTTAAATTATTTAGTTTTTTTTAAACTGGCACAAAAAGTAAATATTGTTTGTAATTAAAAGATTTATACACATGATTTTATCTATTTAATTTAAACACATGCATAACTTTGAGATAAAATGGGAGGGAAGCTAAAATATTAGTCTTGACCTAAAATTTTTGTTACGTTTCGTATAATTTTCTTTCGAAATTGCAAGCGAATACAAGTATATTAATTGAATATTTTATCTTCATTTATAGAAACATAAAAAATAACATTTATTATTAAATCAAACAATTTTTCATTTGTGTACGGGTCATATTTTTTTCTGAAAGGGAAAAGTTATCGTTCCTCCATTAGCCAGCTTATTAATTTTATAATTGTTGAATTTAATGTATTACGTAAAAGTATTTTTTCACCTTCGAAGACATTCAAAGCATTTCCTTTGGAAAGAAGAAAAGAATTGCGACCTCCAACCTCTTCGAGAAAAATTCTATTGTGTTGCGTGTATCTATTTATTCACACGCGAACTGGAACGACGACTCCTAGAAAAGCGCTTCTCCTCCAGGAGATGCTTCTGACAGGTGACAATCGTACAAAAGTTCGAAAACATATTAAAAAAAAAGGAATTTTCTAGAGAAAAACGCACTTTTCTTACGAGAGTAACGGTGAGAAGTGATACATTCTAACAAGATCATTTACTTAACCGAGCATAAACCGTTGACCGGTTCGAATTACACAAAAAGCATTATCCTGGTATAAGTGACGTTTATTCAAAGCAACAGTTTGAAAAATAACGTATTAAAATATTAAATTACCGTCGGTGGACGCTATCTGTGTCATCCCATTAAAATAATATTCATTCATGACTACGAATGAATCGGTTAATTCATTCTAATGAAAGCTAATTTAATTTAAATTCTTATTTTTAATTCGTCATTTTCGTTTTGAATAATGGCGCCTCTGTATTACACGTTATTCCTTGTATAGTAGTTAACAGTGCGGAGTCGACGTGGCGCTGACGGATACCGAATAAAAAGTAGCTTGCGATGGTTTATTTCGAATCAATAATTAAAATCGCGTAATTTTATAATATCGAGCTTGAAAATTAACCGAGCGCAACTGTTCCGTTCAAACGATCTGCCATCTTAGCGTAATTAATTAATTGGAAGGATCTCGGCGAATTGGTCCAATGAGAAGAGTCGGACGTCTCACGTGACGAGACTAGAGGCTTGTGATCGGTTACTACGACGACGTCATAGGTCAGTCGAGTTGCTGGTTGCAGTCGAGGTTGTGCCGCCTTTCAACCGTCCATCTTTACCAGTTCCGTCCTCATGGCTAAACAAAGTTTTTAAGGTGACGACGATATCGTTATTTACTTAATTAAATTGCCGTTACGGTAATGTGATGGTGAGGGGGAAAATGATAGAATATTTAACAGATTCGGAGATGAATGTTTGTGCATTGATTGAGGTGAGGACGTGAAGACGAAATGATAATGACTTAAGAGTTTGAACTTTTTCGAGGCGTGTTCGGTGCTTAACCTGAAAGCAGTCGAGAGATGAAGGTAACGGTGACGTTCGGCAATGTTCGAGTCATTGTCCCTTGTGGGAATGGCGACATTAGTGTTAGAGATCTAATGGATTTGGCCATCACCAGGTATAAGAAGGCGACTGGAAAGGTGAGTCACTATTCTTTTTCTTATCTTTGGATGCCTGTTAAACCACACAAAGGAGCAATGAATTGCCATTTAAACAAACCATGTGCACGGACATGCCTTTCTTATCTGCATTTTATAAGGACGGTCAAGTTTACTTTAATACAGTATATTTTCTTTCTATCTGGGAAGAGTTCGTGTTACATCTAAATATTTATACTCTGTCACATTATACTCGGAGACTTTAATGGATATAAACAAACTTTTAGTAGCACTAAAATATTACCTGGATTTCTTCCAAGTTTACAACTTAAGAATAAAACTGGAAAATTGAGTGTTACCGAATGAAAGACGTGTTTTAGGCTTACATACACACATACTTACACATAATAGCTGGCCGTTTACAGGAATATTTTGATTCTTAGCATCGATAATCACCTTTACAGCACGAAACTGCGTTTGATTCATCACGAACGAAGTTCGTAGGTTAACTGTGGCCCGACCTTTCGGGGTTCGTCTGTCTTGTTGAACCCATTAAAAAGAAGATATCGGATTACTGTTTGGCATATCTGCTTGGCTGTTTAAGTATCCACTCCGGGACGTCACGATTTGATTTACTTTCTGACAATTTACATAGGCCTAATTCGAATCACGTGTTCGGATCTTCATGCGTTTCTATGTGTGTCAGACAATAACGCGTTACGGTCCACCTTGCATTGCCCCAATGCATGGCCGGAGTGACTAATAGTCTTATCATTTCCTGTCCAACGAAGAAAGACCAAAGAACGTGTTGTGTGAAATTTAAAAACAGCCGACAACAACTGGAAACAGTAAATTTATAACCGGCGATTGTATAAACGACAAAAGGATCCGTCGTAAATAAAAATGTTCAAGGAAACTTTCAAGTATTTGCGTTGTTTTTTTAATCACGTAATTTCGAATAATATCGTTCTCGTAGCTTGCATTAATCGGTTTTTTACGATTTTAATGAGAAAAGTGTTTACGTTAACGATCGCGATTGTAAATACGTTGCATTCTTTAAAAAAAAGTTTAAACATGCTCCAATGAGTTTGTGGCTCTGGCAATGCTGGGTCATGCCAAGGCTGAACTTCAAGTTTTAAAATAGTAAATAAGGAAAAAAACCTCATTTGAAGATTCCAGATTGCTTACATAAAAAAAATGACTATTAATAACACGTTTCGATTTATATACATTAAAGTATTAAAGTAAAAGTGATCGTGCAGTGAAACCCAACCGTTAGTTGGCCGAAGCCATTGTCCACCTGTCTGGCAGCTGTTACTGCTTCCTGTCGTTCGAGGGGAGACGTACATGCTACGATTGAATGGCTGCAGGCTCATACTGCTTGCTTGTTTACTGCGGAGCGAATATTATCCGCAGCACGACTTTTAGTTCTATTGATTATCGTAATGAGAACGACGTGCCTTGAGCGTAACTGTTACTATGGTAATCGTAACAAGTTAAAAATTTCTCTCGCCCTTTACTTATTGGAAAATATCCAACATATGGTCAAAAAATTATTCATGGTATCGCGCGTGTGCGACAGTTCGACAGATGTTAAAAATACTTATATAAAATACGGTCCCCGACTTTGTGTATCTTTATAGTCACATCTGCCACCGATTCCTCTATTGTGACGCAATTGTACGTCTTCTTTTGTATTCGTTTTTCGCTCGTGTAAGCATTACTCCACCTGCATTTAATGTAACTTTAGTCCGGTAACAGGTCGTAACAGATGCTTCATAAAGTTCGCTCTCTAGGGTAAAATTTAACCACTTTCGAATATTCGTTTCGTCTGTGTCCGGATAACAATTGCCGAAATTAGGAACTATATTTAGAAAACGTAATAATACCGAACCATACATTTTTCGAGAGCGGTTGAGTGGCTACCTGTCACAGTTACGGTGTATTCAGATGAATAAACACTAGACCAAAAGAAAAACTACTCTGAAAATTGACTTTCCTTCACGCGAAATCGAGTCAGTTTAGAAAAAAAGACATTAAATTAGTTCACGAATATCATTAAACCCGTACACAATGCTCCATATTAGGTTCTCACTTCGAACTGTAAGAACTACTGTTATAGTTTTTGTTCACAATTCTAAAAAAATGTATTTTAAGCATATACTATGCCAAAAAATTCGAATATATTACACATTTTGATGCTATTATAATGTAACGATTCGCGGGAAGTGACGGATGAGAATATATCCGGTTTGTGCCATTGAATTATGAGTCATCGCGTGAAATTCCTTTTCGATTATAATATTGTTACCTTCGGAGGACGTAAAAACAAAAAATAAAAATTTCAGATATTTAAATTCGTCATAAGAATTAACAGGAAGCATTCGAAAGAAGAAAATAATAACACGAATTGGATTTTTAAATACAGTACGAGCGCCATCTGTCGCCGTTCCCTCCAATCGCGGAAGGTATCGAAAGATTAAAAAAAAAAAAAAAAAACATATATATTCGTTAATTATCCGAATTTAAGAATAACATTACCGGAACTGTTTTTGTTCACTTGATTTCCATGTCAGCGAGCAAGCTTATTTTTTATTTTTTATTTTACAATATCAAAGAAATGAATATGTGAATGGGGGATTTATCGTACGGCACGCCTATCGATCACATTTCACTGGAGGCAAAAACTTCTTTTGTTTCTTAACACACTTAACATTTTATGTAGCGCTTCGGATTTAAACCAAGAGCTAGACTTAAGGCTTGTCGTGGTCCTGAGCTATAATGCCTAACAGGCTTTCCCCTCCACCAATTAGCGATACGCGCAAAAATGTCAGGCCCAAAGCTGCTGCTTGTTCGGCTTATTTGCAAACCAAATACGATTTTTATACAGGAAATACGTAAATAATGCCGATTTAAATACTCGTATTTATCGATTTTTCGCTTAGCACTTCGTATCTGATCTCCTTTTGGGTGGAGTTTATTTTGTGAGTAAAAGTCAATTTAACGAGATTGAATCCTAAATTTATAACTTCGCGTTGGATCTTTTCTTTTTTCTATTTAATTTTTTACATGTATAGAACTTATATAGTTGGTTACGTGCCTTTTGGCTATTTTTATCCCTTTTCAGTGTGTGTGGAGTCGTTCAGGATTTCTGGTTTCTTAAGACGTGCGTAGGAATGAGGTGGTGATAATATTCCGAAAATGTAAACCATAGTAGGAAATGTGGTAACATTTCTGGCTGAATATTTTATTTCATTAGTTTTTCGTAAAAATATTTACAAATTATAAAACTTTACGCCGTCAAAATTATATACTCCATTACATATAATACGTATCATACAGGTGTAGCAGAAAAGAACAATAGTTTTGTTATTATTGTTTTATTATTATTATTATTATTAACACAGGCGATAACGCTGATTAATCATTTATGAACTGCTCATACATTAAAACAGGATTTGGAACGTACCTGTATTAGGAAATTCCCATTTCTATTGCACTAAAGGGGTTTTTCTTCGAGAATCGGTAACCATGCGCATCAACTTTTTTTTTTAACTCCCGTCTTACATTATGTGAATGGGAACGTTCAAAGCGAATTCTAGCATCTCTGGTTTATTTTACCTCCATTAAATTTTACAATAATATTTATCTAATTTTTTCCCTCCCTCGAATGATTGCCGTAACCTTCCAAATCTATTATTGCCTGCTTATTACATAAATTATAAATCGCCCAGGGTGTTGTGTAAAAAGCTTACTGCGATTGACTGTCGACAGGTGAGTCACGTGATTTCCTTTCATAGTACCTGTTGGACCTGTTAAGGTACGGTGGTTGACGGTACATTTAGTAGCTGACCTCGATCGTTTGCGCGTCGATATTTTTAAGATTTTGACGGATGTCGGATACTCTTGCTTGGCTGTTAGGACGTGCACAGAAATACGACATACGTAGAGCTACCAGAAAACACGGAAATCAGGTACGATTCTTGCATTGTTTGTTGCAGCGTGCGCGATATTATTGAAGGAAGTAATTCAACTTATTTTTATAGAATATTTTTTAAAAAAGAAAATGTTTTTTCGTCTTGATCGAATGTGGAATATCCGTTATTTCATGGTCTAGCAATATAATTTATTAACTATATCATATATCCCGCTTATCGGTATTGCTATCTTGTTGTATAGAGTTCGTACGTAGATATAGGTTATTTCACTATTTCTGTTACATATCGTATTTCTGACCATTTTTTAGTATAGGAATAACCTGTCAAAGAAGAACTTAAGAGAAATAGAGCAAATGAATTTTTCTTTTTCACAATTAAAACGCTATGCATTGTAAACATCTTCCGAACACACCCACAATCAACACTAGTCTATGTATTACTTCCGCCATTAAAAAAAATGGAAACACCGATAACATTCTGCTCTGTACATAATTGTTTATTTATATAAATGATAATTATCAGTTCGATTTTAATTTGAGTTGATTGCATAAAGATAGAAGTACGGTTATTGAAAAACTGCGTTTGCAACTTTTCCTCCTCTTCTATTTATAGGCATAATCTAAAATATCTGGAGGTGTTTTTTCTTTTAATATATCAATGGAAGAAATATTAGAGGGTTCGCATTGATGTTAACAATGGGTTAGCAAAAAAATTAATGGTGAATGATTACGTGACATTGTCCACTATTATGATTGGGTAGGGTATTGCACTGTCGCGTGCTAGGGAAATCTAGTTACGAAACTTGGATAATGAGTTACTTATTAGGCTTTTTGAATGTACCTTGCTGAGAATAGCATTCGTATTTACTGCTTATTAATTTTCTCGACACCGCATGAAAATATGTAGAGTAATTTTCAGTTCAGAAATCACTACATGATGTTGATATGCTTCTAGTTATTTTCAATTTGTTACCAGCGAATTCTTATGGTAATGATTTGCAAAAACAAGTTGCTGGTTAATGGCATGACAAACAATTATTATGCATTGTTAAATTTTTTCAGCAGTTATGATAGAAATAGAATTTGTTAATTAATACATGAAAAAACTATATATGCATGGTCTAATATATTATAAAGTGTAATAACTGCTTTAACAAAAATTTGTTTTAATATTTGTGGACTTTTAAAGAATAATAATTTGTTTATAAAAGAAATTGTTTTCAATGCTAGTATATGTACTCTTTTGATAGATTGCAAAAAGTACAACCAACTTTCTAATGCATAATTATTATCATTCTTGTAATTTGAAACTGTACAGTACATTTAAATTATTGGCTCTGTACACTTTTATGGTTAGAATAAATCCAAAGAATTTGCATAAAAGTAAATTGTGTGTTAATAATATGAATTTAAAGTTAAGGAATGCATTTTAAAATAAAAAGATGAATAAGCAGGATTTTCAAAATTAGATCCAGTTCTGTACAAAATTAATGGAAACAAGGCAAAAAACAAAAATACAATGTTTATTTTCTACAAATTCATATATTTTGCCTTGTTTCCATGAATTTGCACAGTATGGTAGAGACTTAAATTTACACTGGTTTTTTTCATTACAAAACATGCTTACATTCAAAAGATAAGCAGATATTTTCAATGCTTTTCAGATATTATTCACAACAACTGACTATAAAATTTTTATATAATTGTTTTATAAAAATTTTTCTAATTTAAAAAAAATAATTGTGATTTTTAGATATTTATTTATTTAAAATTGGTTTTTTTTAATGCAATTAGAGCATTTTTTCAATTAGTTTTAGATTTTTTTATGCCTTATTAGCATATTTCAAATATGGTAATGTATTTACATTTTTAATACTTAAATTAATTTTGTTATTAAGATTTAAAATAATAATTCTTTGGCAAATGCTGAAAAAATTAATCTGGGATATAGAGTCAAAATATGCATCAGTTTCTTTTGATTTGAATGTGTGTGTATATTGATTTTTATTAAAATGTTTGTTTGATTTATTTTGAAATTTATCATATATTTATGTTCATATTCACATCAAGGATCAAGGTTGTAGGTTAACCAGTAAGTGTTCACATACTAAAAATAAAGTGACTAGTAATTGATTAACTTGTAACTCTAAAGCTAGCTTCACACTGTCATACAAACCACTACAAATGGTCACTTACAAAAAGAGATACTTTCAACTCCTAACAAATTGAATGAACTGGCAGTTCATATGGCAATGATTCTTGCTTGTGAATATGGTCATTACTCAATTACTTTCACTTTTGTTGTTAAATAGAAATGTGTTCTTATGTCTTTTGTAGAATCAAATAAACATAAAATATATTACAATAAGCATATTTAGAAATTAAAAATTTATATCTCAAAGAAAACTTTAAATTTTTTGAATTAAATTATTAATTTAATAAATATATGAAATAGTTTCATTATATAATTTTTCTAGCCATCTGATAGCTGGGTTACTATTCATAATCTAAAAATATCTAAAGATGAAGGAATATTATATCCGGATGATCGCTTAACTGATGTCGCAGATGATAGGGAACAGGTATTTTTAAAATTACATATATTTTTTGTGGCTTTAAGAAACATTGCTAAACACAGCATATTTTTACAGATTATTGCAATCTTTGAGGAGCAGTGTTCTTATTTATCAGTTCACAATGGTGGAGATGGTACCAGTGCCAGTTCCATAGGTACAAATAGTCCAGATATATTTCGAAATGGTAAAGAAAATCATTCTTCTCAATGCAGTTATAATGATGTAGAAATAACTGATAGCTGTGTTCCTAATGGTGAGTTTGTAGATTATACTTGATATGTCAACTCTAGTGAAATATTTGATTAGTTTTTGATATTTAGAGATTAAAAAATAATCAATTATATCAAAGTTTTAAAACTCTTTTAACAAATGGTCTTAATTATGTTGAGTGAATGAATTCCTGAATGAATTATTTAAGTTAATCTTTATTAATAAAGTGATTTTTATTGTAAAAATTAGTAAATGTGATTTTTAATTTTAATGTATACCAATATAATTAACTATATTTGAATCTTTGTTACATTCTGAAGTTTTTTTTGGCATTTTTAAACTTAGCCTTAATTATATTTCTTAAAAATATAAAGAATTTTGTATCAAATAAATGGCTTATTTGTATTTATCATAAAATGAATTCTATTAAGAATTCATTTTATGATAAATGAATTCTTAAATATTCATTTAAGAATATTTAAGAATTCATTTTTTCATTTAATGCCAGTTCATAAAATGAATTCTATTAAGAATTCATTTTATGAACTGGCAGTCCTCAGTTCAATATTAAGAATTCAAATTTCAAATATATGATCTCATTATTACTTAAATTTTACAATAAAACTCTTAATTTTTTAAAACTACTATATTTATCTATTTGCTGATTATTTTTGGTGGGATGACACTTTTTATAGACAGTCAGATACTCCAGTGAAGCTCCCATCTCAAATGACTTTGCAGAACTTAGTCAATTGATAGAACATTTTGTAATTGATAAATACAGAGAACATGCAAAACTATTAGTCAGATAAACAAATGAACTATTTATTATGTAAAATAATTACATTTATATTAAGCCTTTCTTGGATGAAATTAATAATAATTTAATAGGCATCAGATTACATCTTTAAGTACATCAGTTCTTAATTATTTAGATGTTACTACATTCAAAAATACTGATAGATATTATATCAAGGTTTAGCACAAGCTGCGTTTGCTTTTATATATATGCACTCAAGGCTATCCAGAGGAAGGAGCTGGGATTATTTCCTGGGCCCAGAAGAAACTTAGGGGCTTATAGTAGTTTCTACCCATATAAAATTAATGTTATTTTTACTTACAAAAAATAAAATTTTTAAAATCCCTGGAACTCAATATCATATCATGTCTCATAAGCCTGCAACTTTTTGAACTTTAATAAAATGAGCTATTATTCATTTTTGTCTTATTTTAGAGATTATTTAATTTCTTTTTAACTACTACTGTCTAGTAAAATATAATTTAATATTAGGAAAGTTGTCCTGAATTATATTTTACTGGATTTATCACTAGTGGAATGTTATTCCACTACTGATAAATATTTATTGCTGTTTTAAAACTTTTCCTCAAATAGAGACAAAATTGGCTTGTCTATCAATGATTTCCTTCTATCATGCAAATTTTATGTTCACACAAGAATAAGATCAAGGACACCTGATAAAGCTGGTGTTTCAAATACTGTACTAAAAATATTCTATATTTAGTATGTTAAATGTTAATATTTCTGGATTATGAACACTATTGTAAATACTATTCTTTATATAGGAATGAAAAAGTCTATAGGCTGATGATTGCTTTAGAAAAGATGAAGATAAATTTATCACTAAAAATTTTCAGTTACCTTAAACAAGCAGTACTGGTATCATTCTAACATTTTTGTTCTAAAATTCTTCAGAAAACATTGTTTTTTAAAACTATTGTTCTTACTTTGCTTTACACTTGACATTTATGCTGAAGATGACATGAAATAAGACAGAAATTTCAAAATAAATTATTTTTGGTGTCCTAAAGTAAGCAGTTTTTTTTTCTACTATGATGCTAGGTTTTATGTATTTTCAGAATTTTTTTTTATTACATTATCTAGATATATACATTTATATATGTACTAGCAGATAAGCCTGGCGTTGTTCGGGCAAAAAGTAACGATAGTGAAGATTAAGAAATTACATTATAACCAATCTTACCCGTTTTCACAGAATGTAAGAATTAGGGTCCCCTGTTTCCAGACTAATTAGAAAATTTTTAGATGGGTCTAAAAATATGTTCAATTTCCCGCGAAAAACCACATGTGTGCCTGTAAATCTTGCACATCACTTTCTGTTAACACTTCCATTCTTAACGCTTTCATTGTTAACACTTTCCCATGGGGAAGTGTTAACAATGAAAGCGTTAAGAATGGGGGGAATTTAAAGTAAAATTATTTACATGGGGGGAATTTTAAAAAATCCCTTCTTAGTATAAATTCTCATGACATACCCTGTGTACCAAATTTCAACCTTCAACTCCTAACCATTTGGGCTCTGTGCTTTATTATTAGGTTAATAATAATAATAATATCTCGATTATATATATATA